ACCTGTATTTGACAAAATCTCCAAATATGAGCAACTTTGACTGTGTGATGTGAGTCTGATCCTAATGCCCAACCTAGTGAATGATGCTGTACTGTAATTAAAGGATTAGTTGTGTTTTGGTAGGTGTTTCCCACACTTCCACACAATATGTGAGATATGGAGGAATCAAGGTAGACGAGGACGAAGATAATCCACATCTAGGTTTGATTGGTTTGATTTTATTCAGCTTTTTTGTTTTTTGATTGTCTGATGTGATGCTTCAATGACAATTTATTATCTATTATAACTCCCAAAAATTTGTTTTCACTCACATTTACAATTTAATTAGTACACCTTCAATAATAATTGGTAATTCCTAATTAATCTTAAAATGAGCCTAAAACATTACTTTTGTATTTAGTGTGGGAGCCCCACCTGTGGGGACCCATTTTAACAGATTGAACCTGTCAGCTGTACCTGTACGATGGAGTAATAGGGCTTCAGATTGGTTTTATTTTTTTTATTTTGAGAATAAAGTCATAACATTACTAGAATAAAGTTGTAATAATATTAGAATGAGAGTGGAGGATGGGGGGGGTTCTTACCGCTTTCGCTCATCCGCCCCCAGGTGACGGTGGTGAGGAAGTAATCCAGAGCGGCTACGGTCCCCTGTCCGGTCACCGAATCCGACACCAGGATGGTGTTGTTCAGGTCCATGTGAAGGACTAACTTCTTCCTCGGTGCCTGCTTCTCGGAGCCCAGTCCCGGAGGGACTGTCGCCGCCGGGTCACGCGCTGCTGGCGGCCGCTCAGGCTCTCTGGTACCTCGGTCCTCCGTCCCTTCATGTTCGTCCGCCATGACAGCGCAGCGAGCAGGCAGGAAGTTACTAGCTGACTCGCTGCCTCATCCATGAGGTGGTTTCCAGCAGAATTACCGAGAAACCATTCCAGAAACTACCGACAGCTGATATTCACCGGTAGCTACTTCCTCATTCTTCTTCTTCTTCTTTTTTATGGGATCGTAT